GAAACTTTGGTTTTATGGTGAAAATGGGATTCCATAAGAAAATTCTAGTAAAAAGTCGATATCTCAGCTAAATCTCAACTTGCGCATATATCATCTTAGGCTTTTTCTAGTCTATATATCCTCTACATATGGACAGAATTTCAGCTCAGAAGCGTTTTGATGCCTCGGATGGTTCCCTCATAAGACCTCAACCAGGCAAGCTTGCTTACAAAGTTCTAGAAATTGCAGAGAGATTATCTCCGAGATATGAATCCGCCAAAATATTCATGTGAAATCTAGTATCCATAAGAAAGCGTTTCTATGTTAATATACTTATATCTCGGAGACAGTCTCTCCGAAATTTCTGAAACTTTGTAAGCAAGCTTGCCTGGTTGAGGTCTTAGTGTGAACAAAGCTTCAGATCTAAATTCGAAACTTTGATTTGACCTCACAAATACGGCCCTATAGGACAAATACAATAAATAGTCGATATCTCAGTTAAACATTAACTTGGGCCCATATCCTTTTAGGCTTTTTCTAGTCTATGTATCCCCTACTTGTGAGGAAAACTTCGGTTCAAAAGCTTTTTGATACCTCGGGAGGTTCCCTCGTAAGTATTATTGTTTGCTTTACTGAAAAAATTTGATCTGTTGAGAAATAAGAAAAGTTCATGTAAAGCGTTCTATACATTATTTTTAGATATTATCTAAAAAATGACATGAACAAGTCCGAACAAATTTTAGGAATGATAGAATTTTGATGAAAATGGAGCAAATTTCTGTGGCTAGGTAGTTTGAAAGTGAACAGTTACAATATTTCAAACTTTCAAGTATAAAACACCGATTTTTTAATAAAAGTTGGTGGTTTAGTACTCAAAGAGTTTCAGTTGTACGTTACAAACATCAAACGCGAATCCAACCTTTTAAACTACTTAGTTGAAGAAATTTGTACTATTTCCTTCAATATTCTATCATTCCTAAAGTCTGTTTGAATTTCTTCTTGTTTTTCTCTTAAGTGACAACTAAAAATGATCTATAGAACGCTTTACATGGACTTTTCTTATTTGTCTACAGGTCAAGTTTCTTCGTTAAAGTTAAGAGTGATACTCAGTAAAAGTATTTGCTTATACTTTTCCTATGAAAACAAATCTTAAATAAAGTTCTTTTCATTAACCAAAAGAATCAGTCTATTCTGTGAAGTTATAGTTAAAATATTCAATTTTCTTTCAGTATCGTGACTTTTGAACCACCTTGCATGAAGACTGATATATGTAGCTCAGATTATCGTTGTCTGCAGTAGATCACACACAGAGTTGCGCCATTCCTGCTCTGCATCTATCCCACCTCTAAGTTTTTTGAAATCCTACGTCAACTCTGAGTCTAGAAAACGATGTTCTCCTAAATAATATTTTAAAACCGGAAAACCTTCTATATTCGTCTCTAAAATCGTTATTTTTGTTCTTCTATTATAATCTCACTTGATAAACTACGTACTATGATTATTACTAGAGCATATTTAAATCAATGAAATCATTCTATATCATTTCAAACCAGTGTAAAATGACAGTGTAGGACACTTAAGTAACTGTTATAAATAAATATCAGATTCATTAAGATATTCCTGTGAGTAAAATCTTCTTCTATTATCGATTGCTCTTTTTTCTTCTCTACACATACATAAAAGGATATAAAAAATTCTCATCATAGAGGAGCAATATATTTTCATCAAAGCATTTTTCATAGCGCGGATAAACTAATTGCCATAAAAGGCTAAGTCATCAGTATTTTTAGGATATCTAAATCAGTTAATGCTGGCTAACCTCTCGTAATTTTCTTCATCTCAACCACATTTCAGTTATTCTAGACTAGTGAAGATAAGGACAAGTAATATCCAATAATTTTATCTGACTTTGATTCTTAAGATCTAGCTGTTTCGCTTTTGAGTTGGTACCAGATAGTTCCATTTCGAGCAAGTCTCAAAATAATATCAGTTTGTGGAGACTACTATTACATATTCATCTAGCTCAAGAAGTACGATATAATTTTATCATTTAACAATCAAAATTCCAGAATAACAGCATTGTTTCTTTTCTTTCACACATTTGTGAATAGTGCACTTCAGATTTACGACCGATCAAGACTGGTCTTTGACATTGTTGTCCATATAGGATTTTTTATTGATACTTTTCTTAAATTTTAGCCCTGTGCAGTGCTGCTTGTTGTGCTGCTACTAATGGTTGTATTCCTTGTTCTGATGGTAGTACTACTCTTTATTGTTATGCTGATTATAGTACTGCATATGGTGCCTATCTTACTATGTATTATTATGATTATAATAGTTGTAACTCTTCTGATACTTTTGCTCGTTCTGATGGTGTTGTTTATAGTATTTATCCTGATTATTATTTTGGATGTTAAGACAGGATATAGATCGGCCTGGTTTTTCATGTACCAACAACAACAATTTTGCATAAAATCAATCAGAAACATTTATACTGTGACTTTCTTTTGCGAAAATGAACTTAATTCGCAATTCGATTTTTTTTAAAAATAATTTATATGTAGCCAACTTTTTTTCCATTAGTTATTCTTCATTGGATTATATTCTTTCATTTCATTCTATATTTATTCTAATTAGAAACTAAAATAAAAAACTTAAATTCATAAGTTAGTGTGTAATTGAATTAATTGAATAAGGTGAAGATAAGATTAATCAAAAATTGCATTTAAACAGGAAGTTAATAAAATCTGTGATGCTTCGATAGTGAAAATTATCCTTATCGAACGTTATGTAGAGTTTTTTATTAAGTTTCTTTGGCTTTTTTCATCCAAATGTCGTGTTAAAGATTGTGCCAACAGAAGTGACAAACGTCTTTTCAAATGATACCCCTTATATCTTTTTCATTTTTCTCCTTCCCTTTTCTTTTTTGGCTAGTTTTATCGTTTCATGTTCTCCCTTTCTCTCTCTAGTACATAAACCCGTGTTGTATGTTAAATAGTTACATTTGGATGTAGTACTTGGTCGAATAAACATCGTGCTTTAAGGCACTATAACTATGTCTCTCCATTTGTCATAATGATGGGTATGCACCTATAGCTCATTTATATCAATGCCCAACCAGTGGTAGAGCTGCATATTCCATATTTTCCGTTACAATTGGCGATCACACCAGGATTAATTAACATCAACAATTCCGAACGACAACTTATTTATATTGGAACTATACAATTACCACATTAAAGTTTAATACAATGTCGACGGATGCCAAGTTAAGCGTCGAACAAGCTATTCATCTCCTTACAGAATTATGTCCACATAACCAGAATCAAGGCACACAGTTAAAAAATCAAATTGATCAACTTAATGATAACTCTGTTAAAACAACATTAATGTTAGAAGAAATTATGGCAAAATTAAGTACTTTAGAAGCAAGAGTAAATACAAAAGAAGTTAACCAAGCTAATATTCAAATGATTGATGAGAAGAACAATGACTCTTTGTCAAGGTCACATTTTCTGTTTGATCATACACATCAATCTCATTATGATGAAAATGTATCACCAATGATTAAAAATGTAGCTGCTGCGCCATTATCAACACATGCAATAATAATACCATCATCGTCTACAATACCAACTTTTTCAGGAAAGCATTCTGAACGTCCAAAACAATTCCTTGTGCGAATTCAGGAATATGCTGAAACAGTTCATGGATGGAATCGATATACATTACTTTTAGGTATCTCGCATTTTTTGAGAGATGCTGCTCTAGACTGATATTGTCAATTAAAACTTTCTGCTCGTCAACCATCTTGAGGGTGTGGGTGTGAGTGTGGGTGTGGGTTTCATAAAAAAAGAGACAGATCCACGCCCACACCCACCCACACGACCAATTACGACGATTTAAGGTAAAAATACGACCGTAAATGATTGTTTACGGAATTCATAATGCTCGATCTGGGTAGATCGATTCAGAATCTACAAAAATCTACTTGAAAACTCTTAGTAAATACAATCAGTTATTTTATGTTCGAGAATTTGAATTTTCAACCGTAGTCATACTAGTTGAATGTGTAGGTTTGAAGAGAAGGCACCTACATTCACTTTTATCATTTTCCAGTTAATAGATACGCCTCGTTAAAGTAGACAAAAATAATCATTTTGCCCTCCAAAAGTGCAATCTACAGAACACTAGGGACTCCACTATTCGAGTTAGTATCATTTTTATGTGCAGAATGTATGGATGTTTGAGTTGAGGTCTTCAAAATCCTTTCTAGTTATAATGCGTCTGTATAGTATTCTTCATAAAAGTTTGATACAAAAATCAACAGTTTAATATTATTTTAATCAACTTTCGCCCAAAAACATCAGTCTTCTCTCTATCACATATGTGAAGAGCAAACTCTACAGCGATAGATCATAGCTTAGGTGGCTCGGCTCTTCAAAAGATTTGACTCACGCTTTATCGTAACATTGTATATGTTTCTATAAAACTTATCCTATTCTTTTACATTACAGCATCTACACGTACCGTTGCTCTTTACATAAATGATTGAAAGTTCTATGTATCTAAGATTAGCATCTGGCTTTGGTTACGTTTTCTCTATTTTTCTCATTGGTTAGCAATATTTCAAAAAAAGAGAAACTAAAGAATACAAAAAAAAACATATACGCTTATTTGCGTTTAAAATAATAAAATATATAAATCTATCATCGTTGCTCTAAATGGATTTTCAATAAGTCAGAATAATGACAAATCAATGAAAGATTTTGATACAACTGAATAAAAACTTTTTTATGTTCTACAAATAGTTACCTTTTCTTTATACTATTTTGTATCAATTGAACAAAAGCAAGTTTTTTTTCCAGACAAATTCTAAATTAATAGACTGAACATTTGTCAAAATAATAAAAAAATAATCAGTATGCTACTGAAAAAATAATGGTAATGGAAATAACAATTTCATTCGCCTACACGATTACATTGATATGGAATATTTGCAACAAACACAAGAATAAAAAAAACTAACTCGCTTCCTTTTTTTGAAAATTATTTGTCAATAAAATAGTGACAAATATGTGTTATCGTGTGCTTCTAGAATTGTAAGCCGTCGACTTGGACGCGCGTCGGCTCTAGCAAAAATCGGCTGACGGCTTACACCTCTATCTGTGCTATAAATGCAGCAAACGACAGAAATGTTGAAGCCTTTCAGAGCATGTGATTTTTGATAAAGAAACGCTTTAAAAGTCAGTAGTTTTTGAAGGAAATGTAATGTATCCTGAAAGAAATAAAATTATTAGAGCAACATATTTTATTATACTCATTTTATTGTAACGTGTATGGTGCGCTCCAGGCGAGTAGTGTCATATATCTTCTATAGAAGATTCCGCATCTCTTCCTGAAGATCTGTCCATTCCCCACTATACTGTCAACAAAAAATGGAGAATAATAAACTTTTGCACCTTTTGTAATTTTTCATAAGCTCTTGTAGGGATTAAGAGCCGAAGAGTTTATGGAGATAAGTATTTATAAAAACCGTAACAATTTATTTGTTTCACGAAAAGAATATTTTAATAACAGAATTTATTATCTGTTCCTTTGAGTAAAAAGTTGAGAACTTTCCACTAAAGTCAAACTATTTGATTCTTTCAAAAAAAAGTATTCGTATTGTAGAGTTTTGTGGAAGGATCTTTTTTACTATTATAAAAAAAGTTAACCTATAACTAACGTGAAAAAAACAGCAAGATACTATGCAAAATAAATAGAAATGATAAGAGATGAAACTGCTTGATTAATTATCTAGCATATACTGCTATCAACAGAATAATCAAAATTTGTATCAGGATGTGTATGAATGTGAGAATTGTAGTGACTTAAATCCACCTTATCTATCAAAAACACCAGTTGCTTTAATTTCCTCCTTGGTGGATACTAAATCCAGGTTGACAAGTTTCGGCCTGATCTGATGGCTTGGTAGACGCCAGAACGTGCTAGCAAATCTGATTAATATTCATAAAAAAAACTCATGAATTATGTAGCATTTGAAAACTATTTTTAAATAGTACAATAAACTTCATGAAAAATAAGAAAAGTAGCATGCATTATAATTCATGAAAATATAGTATTCGAAACATAATCGACAATAATGTGTCATTTTTGCATTATTTATCCATCATAGCCTGCATGGCTACAACAGTATTGTTTTCCATAATCACCACAGCAAAATTTTGCTTCATATGGAAATCCATTGAGTGGACAACGAAATTGTCCGAAACGTATACCATTCATATAATCATTATTTACACAAGTTTCTCCAGCTAAATTAAAATGCAAAAGAAATGAATGATTTATTTATTTATATATGCGTAAAACTTACTTCCATATCCAGGTTCATAATATCCAGGACGATAATGACGATGTGACGACAACGATTTCATTAATGAATAGGCTGCCACACCACCTAATGCTCCAGCACCAAAACTCATAGCATTACTTCTAAAACGACTTCCTGAACGACTAAAAATGAACTAAATTGTTAATAAACAAATAAATAATCATTACAATACATACGGTTTACTCATACTATGATAACTTCCATAATTATTTGGACGATGATAACTGGATGCACCTCTTGAGCTGCCAAATAATCCGCCACCTCGAGAACTACTTTTAAATCCTCCACCTCTTCCACCACCGAACACTCCTTTTCCATCAGTAGATATTAAACATAAAACTAAATAGAAATAGCAAAGAAGAAGAGATCATTTTAATATTAATTTATCATTTTATATTTACATGAAACAATAAACAAAATATAAAACCATCCAAATAAATGATTTACTCGCATTGTGTCGTAAACAAAATAAAATCTGAAAATAATACGACATATATTTAATAAAATATCATATCAATATTTTGTTTTATTAGTAAATTATTGTTTATTTATGATTCTTTTAAATATTTTACCGCTTCGACATGAGTTGAAGGAACTAAAATAGAAAATAAAATATATTTTCGTAAGCATTGAAATGTTAATCGTAAAATAGATTCAATCAGTTAACATACTCCGAAATGAAGATACACCTTTAGATGATAAATTTCATCTGGTGCAAGTGTCAATATCCAACTGGTCGAATGAGCTATTTCTCGAATTAATATGAGGCTATTGTGTAGTATTGCTAATCAAAGTTGATGAATGATAGTTCATATTCGATCATTTAATACATCTAGTGATATGAGTTGACTATAAATAAAATCATTTGGAGAAGATTTTTTACCAGAAATTCTTTTTTCACTTGGACAAACTTCATGAAAACATGCTGTAATGTTTTCTGTTTAGTATTGCAAATAAATCCAGAGGACTCAAAATTTTATTAGTAGATTGAAGTCCAAATAAAATTAGAAGCTTAAGTTCAAGTGATAATTCACCAAAGATACACGTAATAGGCATCATAAATATGAAGAAAAATAAATATTTAATAACTATTAATCTATTGATTATCATTATATATATTCTAATGTTGATAAAAACAAAGATTTAAGCAGATAACAAAGAGATTATTCTCGTTTAAGTTCAATAAATTGAGATTCAGTTGGATAGTGAAAATTCCAGGCGAGATCATAAGCAACAATATAAAAAGTCGTGTTGCATAACATTGAATACATATTTGTCGATCAGTGTTGAGATATTGTTTGAAAATATTCAGTTCGATTGATATAAACGATTTTTAACTAAATATAAATAGAAGAGAAAACAAAATAATGTTATCGTATTAAATACATGAATTTGTTTTGATGAGGGATTTATGAGTACAAATACAAGTAATAATCTAGTGTTATAGAGTCTATAGTTTTCTTTTATTCGTACTTCTTTATCTGCAGATGAATAATTTTTATCTTTGTCATATATATACGTGGTTGTATTACGCTTATTTCTTTCTTCCTACAGAAGTATATTATTAGTCTATGCTTATCATGTGTTAACACATTGTGTATTTTCTTCTATATCGTTATTCTAATCTTTATCTTCATATAACTGTATAACGGCTAATTTCTACTTCTTTCCATACATGGGCTAACATTCTTGATATTCTAATACAAATTTAGCTCTACTTCTCCTCTCTCTATCTGTATTTGTATCTAATGTAATAGTATTCAGGAGATGGAAAAATTATTGCAACGATACGATTTTAGATATACAATAAAATATATATATATTATATATCCTAGACTCAATTTTCTAACTAAAATCATCACTCGTGACACCCACACCCATCGCTTTTCATTTTTTATTCCGAATATTGTTCTTGAAATCTTTAAATATATATAAGAGTAATAAAAGCAAAATATCAAAGTTTTAGCAAGTTATGATCTTGATTATTGTCCTTTTGGATATTTCCATTCAATTCATCACTAATCGACCAAATGTAAATGATGTTCAGGAAGAGTAATATCAGAATCGAGAGTAATGTGAACTGATGACTTCAATTTTTCAGATTGTTTATCGATGTTTTTAATAGTGTTATTACATGTTTTAAGTGATTCAGATGAACTCTTCCGATTTAATTCATTGATATTAAAGAAATGTTCCTGAAATAATCAAGTTTTATTATTTAAATCATATCTTATATGAGAGATAGAAACTATCACCTGAATTGATGACATATCCAAGTGCATCATCATACTATTTGCTGGTTGAAAACAAAAATGATCTTGAACACGCATAAATACATTACGAATAATTGTCCATTCTATAATGAAGTAAAAGATAAGAGTTTAAATTGGAAACAGAAAGATTTAAGAAATATTTACCCTTTACTCGAATATATTCAGCTAGATTACGATACAATTCGAATGGATCTTCAATAGCAATTATGTCACTATACCATTTTTTATCAACACGTAATAATGGTTCATATTGCCGAATTGTAACAATACGTTTTTTATAATTAAAATTTTGTGTATAATAACGTAAAAAAGCAATCCATAGAGCACCAGATGACATTGTATTCGGCTCGTTTTTTTTGTTCCAAATTTGTTTCTAAATAAGAATAAATTATTATATATCAAATATAAATCATCTTCTACAAGTCTATTTAAATCATTAAAGAAATATAGACTATATTGACCACATTTTCGAACCGACGAATTATCTGTTGATGAATCGTCGATCAACTAGAATATACATGTTCATGAAAAAAAAAATACAAAAGAAAAAAAAACTTGTTGAAGAACAGGTAAGACAGGTGGTTGAATTTGTTGAAGAAAATGAATGACCATTATAATATATGAATAACTTGATAATCTGCGACAACTTCTAACATCTATGACCTTATTGTACAAGACAATAATATATGATTAAATGAAATTATTTTTTATACTTTAACTAAATATTTGATCATATAACCAAGTTCAACTACACGCGAATCAATTTGCGCGTACGTTTTTAGTAGATTAGTATTTTCAATAGCCTAACAAAAAAGATGTATGAATTATATTATAATGAAAGATAATAATCAGACAAATCTGTTGTGAATGCTTATATCGAATTCAATATTTAATTGCAAATGTTTCGATCGAATTATAGGTACTCTGGCGTGACTGATTACATTCACATATTCAAAGGTATTAGAACACATTGATCGAGATAATTTCTCTAGAATATTGACTTTATCTTCATTTGTCTAGATGAGAAATGAAATAGGTAGAATTATTGGATTTTTCTAATATTAAAACATACATTTTTCCATATATGTATACACACATCAAGATCACTTTGTTGAAAACCAAAACCATTACAAGATGAGCCATATGGTTGTAATTTACAGCCGGGATAGATTTTTTGATATTGAATTTGAAGTTGACGCACAAGTTCTTTACGATTTTCAATATCTTTTCTTGTTGGTTTATGACGTTCTATAAAAAAGTTACAATAGAATCATGAAATTATAGTAAAGATATCTACCAGTAATGTATCGACAAAGTTTAGAAAGAATATTTTCCCATTCTTGGCTTATTTCTGTCACATTTGGTTTTGACTCTTTAGGACAGTTGGACTTGATATGACCATTTTCATAGCATGAAACACATGCTATTGGAGCACCCTACATATAAAGTAACAATATACATGCAATTCCTTCTTTATATACTGTTTTCATGCCTGTTCAGCACCAAAATTTTCTGCTTGAAAATCGTAGAAGAACGCAGGAGAATTAGTTTCTAATGAAATTGTCGGAATCGTCTCATCTTGGCTGGATAATAAATGTTCAGTATTTGAACTAACTACAGGAAGTGCTTTCATGGTTGATTCAGAATGAGATTCATCAGTTGCTGATATTAAATTTGGTAGAACTACTGTTTGCAAGTTGAAACTGTTGAGCAATTCTTGCACTTTATCGTTAACAATTCTACCTAGAATGAAATGCAAAACGCAAAGGAGGGTGTGGGTGTGAGTATGGGAGAAGGCATGGATGCGCAAAGAGGAAGAACACAACGCCTACTCCTACACTTACACACACCCACCCCCTTGTCGAAAGCAAATGAATTACAGTATAACTTTGATATTAACTACCTTGTCGTTCAAATTCTCTGTGCAATATTCGTCTTTGTTTCTTATTGGCATTTCGACAGAGCGCTTCGAACAATGTCCTCATTGCTTCCACATCCTGCGTATCATCATGAAAATTTTCTATTTGTTTCAGATCCTTTGACATTTCATTATCCGATACCAGTGATGATTTACTAGAAGATGTAAACAATCATTTGCAATAGTATCGTTGATGTTAGATATTCACTAACTTATTATTCTGTTCTTTGTTACTATCACTATTTATTTGTATCGGTGCAATTTCATTGCTATCAAATATTTTCATATTCTCTTGGAAATAAGGCTGAAATACATCTTCCATTTCGTCTTTGTCGTCATTTTTATCTAGCCATAATGGACAATTAGTACTATTCGGTTTAAGTATTGGCTTCGGTTGTGGAGTTTTTTTCTTATCAAATGTTTGTAAATACAAATTTCGTATTTCCGTCTGAGTCATTTTCAAATCGAATATAACGCCTGAAAATATGTCTTGAATACACAATTGGTATGAATGGTGCACCGCATTGATAGTTCTGTTTGTATCCTCATTATCTGAATTTCTCTTGTGTGTGCTACAAAAATATTCAAGAGCTCTTTTGAGTACTTGCCGAAAATAGTCATATGAACAAGTCGCTTGCATTGTTGAACATAAATTTTCAGTAATACGTATCGGATCTGCATATCGAAAGACAGTTATCAGTAAAATCAAAAAGTAATTAACTTACCTTGGCAAATGAATTTATTTTTACGTTGTCTTTTACCGATTCTTAAAACTGGCATTCGAGTTTGTATAGATATAATGAATTTTTCTGCATCAAATTTTTCAACATAATACGATAAGAGTTGAAAAAAAAGCATTTCCATGTTAATTGTATTTTTTGATTTCCATGTACGAGTATATGCGTTGCATAAACGAAAGAAATCATTATATTGATTGTCTTTTAGTTGTATTGGTAGAGGTTTAACACCAAACACCTTATTTCGAAAATGAAGAAATCTATTACATTTATGAAAACAATAAAACAATCTTACATATTCATGAAGACATGGTAAAATCGGTTCTTCAAGTTGTTGTAAAAAGTGAATAATCATTAGATGAAAAACTACCGGATGAAGAGTGCCCAAATCTGGTCTGTCAATGTTGCTTACCTGTGACGAAAGATACATATTCTATGATTATTTTCTAATTATAAGAAGAGAAACCTTTGCAAGAATACGAAAGAGTCGAAATAATTGAAGAACACGTTGATCAAATTTTGTATATATTTGGATTAATTTTGATAGGTAAATTGCTGTATTATAACCAGATGTTAATCGCACATTTATGTTCGAATTACATACAAGTAAATCAATATACGGCAGATCATGATCAATATCGATACGAGGCTCATAGCAAAGTCCTAACAAAAATAACAGAGACTATACATATAGAACTGAAGTTGACGATTCTTTTATTGTTTCGTGAACAAGAGCTCGAAAAACGGTCTCATACCAGAGTCACGAATAATATTGAGCAGTATGTTCTGTGTACCATATTCCGATGATTCTTTGAACTGCACATCGATATCTATTTTGCTTAACTTATTTAAGGCGCATTTAAATAGAAAAGCACCATATAAAGTAACTTGAGCATCTATTTGAGAGAATGATACAGAATCAACAAAGAATTGAGCAAATATTTTTGTTCATTACCTGGTCGTTTGGCAACGATAATATTATATAATTTATTATATACGGTCAATCGTTCGTGAGCACCGTCTTTGGTTAAAAAATGCTTGACCAAAGTTTGATCAAAGCAAAGTTTTAATAATTCCAAATGCTTACAAATTGGTTCTTCGATGATAATCGTTGTTTGATCTGTTTGCACCTAATGAACAGAATATTTTTAGTAACATGATGATGACAAAAGAATGAATTACTTTGTCCAGTGATTTGTCTTTAGTCTGCGATGCTTAGAAAAAACAAATATTATATCACTGAGAATAAATTTAAAAGATAAATGTTTACCTGATAATTTTTGTTCAGTTCGATTATTTTGACTATATCGTCCAACTGTTGGTGTAGTTTGTTGTTGAGCACCCACAGCCTCGGTAAACGGTAAGTTAATTGGCTTCTTTCGAGATCGTTTCGATCGATTGTGTTGTTGATTTTGTTCGTTACGTTGATGATTTAGTTCAATCTGTTCATGGCTATAGTTGGGCGACTGATTATTGGAAAGGATTATATCTGTTTTATTTGTATGGACGTTTGAAGCCATTTATCACGATCAGCAATTCAGCTTGTATGTGTTATGAATGTAAATAGGAAAAATAATCTGAAATGCATCTTCTTTAATTTAACAGGAAGGCCCATCTTGAGAGTGAGTAGGTGTGTGTTCTCATTATCTATATTCACATCTTTGTGAGAGAGATCTTTGAAGAATTTTTTAGTAATACGGGCATATACGAGTGGAAAGAGATTTGTTAAGGGATTTAGTTTTTTATTAATATATGGAATCCGGCAAAATCCGATCTGATCTATCCTAAGGCTGATGACTTCCGATTGATTTCATACGGCGCATTCGATCGAATTGAATCTCCTGGGTGGTTAGATCGAACATCTCGTTACATACTCAGAATTTGACTTGAATATCATTGATAAAGTACTTCTATTAGAGTTTGATTTGAATAAAAAGTTAAGTTTCAGAAACTCAAACGTTTTGTAATGTAATATTAGTACGAAACAAACTTAATTTTCAAACTTCTGAGTTTTTTATTAAACAATCTATGTGATCTCAGAAGGACAATCTTTTGACATTAAAAATGCTAAACAATAAACAATGAACACAAGCAAAACCCTACACATTTAAATAACTCACAGTTTACAACGCTAACGAATTTTCAATTTCATCAACATACTTACTTTACTTTAAAACGCCAGATAAACCTTGTAAGCAACACTGACGTACGTAACAGTCTGCCTGCTTTATCTTCCTTCTCACGGTAGTTAAGATACCAGAATAACTTCATAATTTTAGAAAATAAGCAGTAAAAGAAAAGATATTTTATGTTGACACGTGGATAGAAACAGCTATTAAAACATTTTGTTGTAGACGTTGTAAAAACAACAATCGTTGCTAACAGAATGCGAAAAAAATAAGCGCTCTCTACACTGCTTACAATTTTGTTCGTGATGAAGTTAAGCGTACCCTTCCCACTTATTTTTCCGATTTTTAGAGCTCGATGACGGTTCGGCCGATCGAGCTGAAATTTTCACCACAAATAGAGAATCTTAAATGATCAGACATATGTTCGAAGAAAAACAATTTCCTATGGATTTTTGGCAAAATCTTTAGATATGTGGATTGGCATTAGATTTCATTCAACATCGATACCCACAACGTCATACACACCCATACCCTTTTTTTAAACTTTTGAACGCATCTGAACCTTTTAAGAACCTACGAAACCTTTTTGGAGGCTTCAGGAGTGTTCCTTATTTTTTAGAGTGAGGGATGCTTCAGAACTCGAAATTTTCATGAACCGCTTCGTGATAGTGAAAGCCACTTATCCGCCGTCAGTTTCCTACGCGTCAAACTTTGTAATTCATAAAAAACCCAATATATGTTTTTTTGAAATGTTTTACGAAAAACTCATTTTCGTATGAAAAATTCTTTATTGAAATTTTTATATATTTTTTTGACCTTTTTGAGTTTTTAATGCATAATTCTTTAATTAAATTTTTTAACCTTTTTGTACTTTTTATGAAAAATTCTTTATTTAATTTTTCTAATATTTTTTCACCTAGTTGAACTTTTTATGAGCAAAATATTTTTTTTTTATTAAGAGTTGTTTATTTGAATTTTTTTCACCTTTTATTAAAAAACCTGTCTTTTGCATAGATGTGGGTGCAGTTGTAACTTATTTATCCTCTATATATTAACTCACATCCCCACCAAGTCTACCGACATTGACGCTCTCATCCGGTCTAAACTTAAACATTTCAGCAAATCGATATTATGGTGTTTTGTTCTCAAAATCAAGTTTAATTAGTTAACGATTGCGGTTGCATGACATATTTCATAAATTAACTTTTCTAAATTGCTTGAAGCACTTTTCTCCAGCGAAATTCACTCTTCAAGTCATGTCATTTTAGAAAATAGATTAAGTCTTGGAGCATTACCTCTATACTTTTTTAATCTATAGAAAAATATCTTAGACGCAATGATAATGAGTATTTACTATCTAGACAGTTTAATTTACGTCAATCTGTTTATTAAATTTTTACAATATTCATAATAGATATTAGGCCTACAATTTGATCGGCTCATCAAATACTTTTATGATTAGAGATGTCACTTTATCTTTACTTTATGAATAGAGATAAAATAAATCTTTATCTTTGTCTTAGAAAGAATAAAGATAATCTTTATCTTAAAAATCATGATTAAAAAATAAAGATAATGAGAAAATGAATTTATTTTAAAGAATAAAGAATTTGTTTTTCGTAAGAATCTAAAATTTTATCTTTTCCAAGTGTGTCACCAAATATTATAAGGACACAGATTAAAAAAGATTCTGGAGAGGTTTTTTCAATAAATCTGTTATGTCTTGCATTGATTGGCTACCATTAATCCATATTAGAATGCGACTGATGATAGGAAAAAACTACGATTAATGTTATCTGTTTTTATATCAATTATTTACCGATCACTTGAAAACATTTTCTTTATTCTTTAATTTAACTACATTTTTTAAAATAACATTCATCTTTATCTTTATCCTCTTTCTCGTAGAGAAGAGTCCAGTAAACATAAATTGTCTGATTGATTGCTTGGTTGTCTGTCCGCAGGGTCAAAAGAACATCGGAAACCGATTTTCTCCAAAAGACATTTCTTGAGGTATTTCGATGCGGAGACTTCGAATGTGAAGTCTGTTGGTTGACCATGATGACGGGAGGGGTGTAGAGAGGACAAAGGTAAAAGAAACATCGAAGACCGATTTTTCCCGGTTTTCACTTGTTTTTTCAGTAAATGTGAAGAGGATACATTTCTACGAGAAATAGCTAAGCGAGTCCTCGGACGAGCGTTAATTAACGACTAGTGAGAATAGAGTCAACAAGTTTGTTTTTTATATCGATGAAAGAAATTTTACAAAGCTTTTTTTCTCGTCATCATTGAGAATCAAGAAAACTAAAGGTCAAGCTGATTTTTTATATACTAATTAGTTTCTATTTTTCACACTTATGCTTGTTTACCGTTTTGAAATGCTCTCAAATAGTTTAATTTCAACATAAAATTCAAATCTGCCAAGAAAATTAGGAATATCCAAATCAAGGAGAATATTCAGTAAATGGAGATAATGCATCCTTTTCATTGCTTTTCGAGAAGTCTCAGTAATTTCTAAAGGCATTGGACATCTTTCATAAATGCCGTTTCATTTATCTTTGAAATGTTTTAGTCTGCTACTCTCATTTGATTCTCTCCAGGCAATACGTGGGTAGATAATGTGAAATATTGTTTTAACTATGTCAATTTCTTAAGAAAGTATTTAGACTAAACAAAAGAAAAGAAAAGAGAATAATTTCTTTCCATCGAACAAACTAATTTGTTGTAGCTTTAGGTATTTAGACAAGAATTTATTATTTCCCTTTTTTTTTTGTCAATTTATGAGAAAGAGAAAAGAAATGAAGGTATGAACTATATTTCTTTTCATAGATTAACTTGTTTTTCATCGAACGCATCTTCAATAATATTAAATTATTACAAAAGAAAGAAGAATGTCGACCAACAATACTACAATCATATTTCAATTACCATCATTTAACACAATTTCAACTATTACACAAAATCTTTCCTTTTATGGTTTTCTTTTTTTATTTATCTTTGGTTTCGTTGGAAATATTAGTAGCTTAGTTATATTTAGTGGAACAAGTTTAAGAAAAGCTTCTACTTCTCTTCTCTTCATATTTCTTGCAATTTCCGATACTGGTTATCTTTTAACATGCATATACGAGTTTATCTATTATGGTTTCAATATTAAAGATCCAAATGCTGATAGAAGTCGTATTAGTGCTCTCTGCCGTTTTCGTTCGTATTTTCAAACAATTTTCATGTGTGTATCATCGTGGCTTCTCGTTGCAATATCAGCTGATCGTTCAATAAGAATTATATTTCCTTTCAAAGCCAAAACTCTATGTACACGACGTCATGCAATATATGTTGCTACAATAATTCTTCTAATTTTTCTCGTTCTTAATGCTCATTATCTTACAGTAGGATTTGGAGCAAATCAAGGTCAATTTGTCTATTGTTATTCAGACTTTCGAAATACTCAATATACTTATTTCTATGCTTATCAATGGCCTATAATCCTATCAATTTTCCAAATCTTCTTGCCTGCTTTTTGCATCTTTTTATTTTCATTGTTAATCTATAAAAACCGTCAACGCCCAACTGCTCTTATTATCAGCGTTCATCGAAAATTTTTGGAAGTTCAATTATTAAGATTGATGATCTCAAGTAGTCTTCTATTTCTTCTAACAATGATTCCATTAGGCTTATCGAATACAATTGGACCACGATTTTTGACTTTTGTAACACTTAAACAATTACATACATATATTTCAATACTCTATTTTATTCAATCAATTAATTATTCAATCAATTTCTATGTTAATGTTTGTTCAAGTAAATTATTTAGAGAAAAAATTTTACGAATATTACATTTCAATTTTGGTCAACATATACATCCGATTGTACAGGCTGAACCTGTTGAAATAGTAAGGCTAGATAGACAAATAATGGCTGTTCAACTCAATCAATTAAAAAATTGATTTGTGTTGTGTAGTTTTCCTTCTGTCGCTTATTTTTGAATATTCGACTAAAACAAATGATCTGATGCGTTTTAATGGGCATAGCTCTACTTCTTTTTTCTTTGTATTTTCTTCTGAGACTTATTTTTTGGCGTTTTCTTTATTTGTCTAATGTTGTCTTTTCTGTATCGATGTTGTCGTGTAACTGTCAGTATTAATTGTTTCATTTATATTTTATTAAATTTTTCAAAAGATGTCTTTATAATACCATCTATTGGGGTGTGGATATGAGTATTCTTCTCATTCATCTACAATGACGTACCATCAAGACTTCTAATTGATGATGGTGCCATGCATCCGAGTGGAAAAAACAGTTGGAGTTGGAATAAATCGGTGAAATCAAATAAATTGAATTTGCAATTAAAATAATTCTAAAGGTGTAATAGTTTTACTAATATGCATATTTAACAAGAATTTAATTAGGCCATCGCAAAACTGTTCGCTCAGCCGATTGATAAAATGTATTTAGTGCTTGAAAGTCTTGTACGCCTAAACTGTTGGATTCCTGGTTTTGTTTAAAAATAAGAATGAGTGCACCGAAAAAAATCACTAAATTGACTTTTTATAGTTTCTTGTTTTTGCTATTACACTCACTATAATAGTGTCTCAGTCTTTCTGTTGAGACACGCGTCAATATGAAAAATAATTAGATATAAAAACAGTTCCTTTATTTTCGAGAATTTCTATAGTTTATATATGAAAATTTTGTTGGGATGTACCGAATGATAAAATATATATTTTTAGTTATAATTTGAAATTGAATAATGACACGAATGGTATATCGAATAAAGAGTTAAAAACGTGTCGTATCATCTATAGAAAAAATTTCTTAATATTAATTTCTGAAGTGATTTTGGAATTTTCTAATTATTAATAAACTTTATTTTTGTAAAGAAAAAGCAAAACATAAAAGGAGGATCAATTATAATCATAATGAAAACTTAGCTTATTCTTAAAAAAAATAAAACAAAATTCTACAAAAAACGATTTGATGCGTTTTCATCTCATCGTGCCAATAATTAAAAATGCAGTTCTCTATCCTGTTCACGCCAAAAAATAATTCAAACAGTATATACTAATATTCATGTTATCTTTGCATATACATGCAAAATAGAGGGTGTGGGTGTGGATGCGAATGCGAGTGCGGGTTTGAATAAAACAGAATACCCACACCCACACCCTTTATTTATTTCTTCCTCTCAAGAATCGCATCGTTCTAATACAAAACACACGCTTATCGACTCGTTCAGCAAATAGAATGAAAAGAATCGAAAGAACAAATACCATGCGTACAGCGCATGTAAGCGAGAGTGTCACGTAAATAACATGCATACAGCGCATGCAAGTGATAGCGTCACAGTCAAGTACCGAAAGCAAGTACGAATTTCAAAAGATAATAGTACGAAAGCAAGAACGAATATTAAAAGGTAATAGTACGTAAGCACCAAAAAAGATCAAAATGCATATAAAGAAAAGAGAAAAAGCCATCCTTTGGCTTCGTGCAAGTATTTACTTCAGTTACTTTCAACAAGATTAAAGTTTATGCTAATTGATGTAATTAAAGTGTTATCATAAAAAAAACTACTTCCCTCTTATTTTTTTTCCAACTTAATTCTCCGCGAAAGAAATGACGCATCTATTTTCTTTTTGACTCTAATAATGTTTTTTTCAAGAAGGTTTTAAAAGACAGATTGACGACTATTTACTTACGAAAATGATGAATTATTATCATCATTTGTTTTTGCTTACGAATGCATCGTCAGATACTTGACTGATGACAAAGCATTGATTATATATAGAAAAAGGACATAAACACAATACTAAATATACTATAATACTAAGATACAACGGAATACTATGTTCACCTATTTGATCTTTGCTTCATTTTTTTTCTTCAATAGTCTTGTAATTGAAACGGCTCTTGTTGAATATGATTTCATCGTTCGTACTATTCCATCTAATCCAGATGGTTATCCTCGACCTGTAATTATAATGCATAATGCAAACTCATCATGGGATGTCAATCGACCATTTCCTGGCCCATTGATTCGAGCGAAATTAGGTGATACACTTCGTATTCGAATCACTAATATGATGCGTGATCAAGCAACATCAATTCATTTTCATGGCCTCCATATGTTTAAAAATCCATGGGCCGATGGGACGGAACATATAACCCAATGCCCTATTGCACCGCATCAAACGTTCATATACGAATTTGAAGTGACACAAACAGGAACGTTTTGGTATCATTCAC